TTTTTGTAAGCTGTAAGAAACCTACCCCCCACCTTTCTCACTTATTGAAATGAATGCTAATTCCGCTTTAATGTTTTACATTCTACATAAAATGACCTTGACATTCATATAACAAGGCACTGTTCTTGAAGTTAAGAAAATGATAAGGCTTAATTCTTTCTACAAAATAATGATAATCTAGAAGTCTATATTCAAGACACCCACCCACCCCTGGAAGCGCGCAGCCAGGTAGAATTCGCAGATATAACATCTACAACTTACAAGTAACGTTTTAAAAGTTTCATTCATAAACCAGAAGTCTCTGTCGAGACTGTAGCTCTACTGGTTTGTACTTATAACAAAGGATGAGAAAAGAAGCCATTGCCATTAGACCACAACTGTAGGAGTAGCTTTTTAAAGGAATTTCATGGATATTTCTATTTTGAGTAACAATGGCAATACTGTTCATCGAAATCAAAAACTGATATCTTAGTGTAGACTTCTTGTGTGCCAAGTTATATTGAAATCAGACCAAAATTGTAGGAGGAGTAGCGTTTTAAGGGAATTTCAAAGAAAATTCTAATTTTAGTAACCATGGCAATACCGTTCATTGAAATCAAAAACCAATGCACTATTTTATGCATCTTAGTGTAGTCTACTTGTGTGCCAAGTTATACTGAAATCAGATCAAAATTGTAGGAGGAGTAGCGTTTTAAAGGAATTTCACAGAAAATTCTATTTTTAGTTACCATGGCAACACCGTTCAACGAAATCTAAAACCGATGCACTATTTTATGTATCTTAGTGTAGTCTTCTTGTGTGCCAAGTTATATTGAAATCAGATCAAAATTGTAGGAGGAGTAGCATTTTGAAGGAATTTCACAGAAAATTCTATTTTTAGTTACCATGGCAACACCGTTCATCGAAATCAAAAACCAATGCATTATTTTATGTATCTTAGTGTAGTCTTCTTGTGTGCCAAATTATACTGAAATCAGATCAAAATTGTAGGAAGAGTAGCGTTTTAAAGGAATTTCACAGAAAATTCTATTTTTAGTAACCATGGCAACCAGTTCATCAAAATCAAAAACCGATGCATTATCTTATGAATCTTTGTGTAATTTACTTGTGTGCCAAGTTATATTGAAATCAGATCAAAACTGCAGGAGGAGTAGCATTTTAAAGAAATTTCACAGAAAATTCTAATTTTAGTAACCATGGCAACACCGTTCCTCGAAAACAAAAACCGATGCACTATTTTATGTATCTTAGTGTAGTCTACTTGTTTGCCAAGTTATATTGAAATCAGATCAAAATTGTAGGAGGAGTAGCGTTTTAAAGGAATTTCAAAGAAAATTCTATTTTTAGTAACCATGGCAACACCGTTCATCAAAATCAAAAACCGATGCACTATTTTATGTATCTAAGTGTAGTCTTCTTGTGTGCCAAGTTATATTGAAATCAGATCAAAATTGTAGGAGGAGTAGCGTTTTAAAGGAATTTCACAGGAAATTCTATTTTTAGTTACCATGGCAACACCGTTCAACGAAATCTAAAACCAATGCACTATTTTATGTATCTTAGCGTAGTTTTCTTGTGTGCCAAGTTATATTGAAATCAGACCAAAATTGTAGGAGGAGTAGCATTTTAAAGGAATTTCACAGAAAATTCTATTTTTAGTTACCATGGCAACACCGTTCATGGAAATCAAAAACCAATGCACTATTTTATGTATCTTAGTGTAGTCTTCTTGTGTGCCAAGTTATATTGAAATCAGATCAAAATTGTAGGAAGAGTAGCGTTTTAAAGGAATTTCAAAGAAAATTCTATTTTTAGTAACCATGGCAACACCGTTCATCAAAATCAAAAACCGATGCATTATCTTATGAATCTTTGTGTAATTTACTTGTGTGCCAAGTTATATTGAAATCAGATCAAAACTGTAGGAGGAGTAGCATTTTAAAGAAATTTCAAAGAAAATTCTATTTTTAGTAACCATGGCAACAACGTCCATCGAAATCAAAAACCGATGCACTATTTTATGTATCTTAAAGTAGTCTACTTGTGTGCCAAGTTATATTGAAATCAGATCAAAATCGTAGGAGGAGTAGCGTTTTAAAGGAATTTCACAGAAAATTCTATTTTTAGTAACCATGGCAACACCGTTCATCAAAATCAAAAACCGATGCACTATTTTATGAATCTTAGTGTAGTCTACTTGTGTGACAAGTTATATAGAAATAAGATCAAAATTGTAGGAGGAGTAGCGTTTTACAGGAATTTCACAGGAAATTCTATTTTTAGTAACCATGGCAACACCGTTCATCGAAATCAAAAACTGTTGCACTATTTTGTGTATCTTTATGTAGTCTACTTGTGTTCCAAGTAATATTGAAATCAGACCAAAATTGTAGGAGGAGTAGCGTTTTAAAGGAATTTCACAGATAATTCTATTTTTTGTAACCATGGCAACATTGTTCATTGAAATCAAAAACCGATGCACTATTCCATGTATCTTAGTGTAGTCTACTTGTGTGCCAAGTTATATTGGAATCAGATCAAAACTGTAGGAGGAGTAGCATTTTAAAGGAATTTCACAGAAAATTCTTTTTTTAGTAACCATGGCAACACCGTTCATCAAAATCAAAATTCGATGCACTATTTTATGTATCTTTGTATAGTCTACTGGTGTGTCAAGTTATATTAAAATCAGACCAAAATTGTAGGAGGAGTAGCGTTTTGAAAAATTGTTTACAGACAGACGGACAGACAGACGGACGGACGACGGACACCTTACTATCGCATAAGTTCTATCTAAAAATTAGTTCCCCTAATGTCATCTGATAATTTGCTATCATTCATTCTTCCTATGTTTTGCCTGTAGAATTTATAATTATCTTATTTAAATTTTTTTTTATCTTGAGAAAATAAAGATTGTCAGCTGCATTTATTAGCATTTCGCGTTTTCTTGTATATCTATTACTTGCATGTGAATAATGCCATTAAATAATATAGAAGAAATCGAACTCCATTTCCATCTTTTTTATTTCATTCATAAATCCTTGGATCCGCTCCAGCAAATTGTAGGAGGAGTAGCGTTTTGAAAAATTGTTTACAGACAGACGGACAGACAGACGGACGGACGACGGACACCTTACTATCGCATAAGTTCTATCTAAAAATTAGTTCCCCTAATGTCATCTGATAATTTGCTATCATTCATTCTTCCTATGTTTTGCCTGTAGAATTTATAATTATCTTTTTAAATTTTTTTTTATCTTGAGAAAATAAAGATTGTCAGCTGCATTTATTAGCATTTCGCGTTTTCTTGTATATCTATTATGAATAATGCCATTAAATAATATAGAAGAAATCGAACTCCATTTCCATCTTTTTTATTTCATTCATAAATCCTTGGATCCGCTCCAGCAGCTGCGCATGGCCCCATCGCCACTATAAACAAAACAGTCACCACGCCGAAAATGTTCATGTTTCCGCTAAACTTAGAAAGTTTATACATGATTTATCATCTCATAACAAATATCAGACCTGTCCAATGCAGAAATGCTCGAATTGAAGGGGGAAATTCAGGAATTATTTTGCGGTAGCCATATTTTGCCGTGAACCTTTGTAATTAGGGTCTTCCAACGGAAGACCCTTCTATTATTCTATTGTTTCTTTTTCACTATTATTAAAGTTTTCCGTCTCCAACGGAAGACCTTATTGTTTTCGTTCAGTTTCTTTTTCCCTATCATTTTTTTTCTTACCGATTTTTGTGCACGCGCATTCTCCGAAACGGCTCGGTCGATTTTCACGAAACTTTCAGATCTGATAGATATTGGTCTGAACCTTATTGGAAATTTTTTATAAGTACATCGTCACTTCCGGTCGTGAGATATGGACGATTTACTGATTTTAAGAGGGTCGGCTTGTCCAGATAACTCCTCCTAAACGACTGAAGGTATTGAGTCAAGATTATCAGTGAAGGTAAAAGAAGGTTTGCTAAGTTGCATATGCGTGTCCAAATTTTCCTAGCGCAAAAGGCACCGGAGCTTGGTAGGGCCAAAAAAATGTCTCAGAAACATCTCGCCAAATTTGACACCTTTTGTTTCATATCGTCTTATCTGTTCATAATTTGTTTAAACGTATTGAAGAGAAGTTGTGCAGAATGTTAGGAGCTTTTATATTATACAAAGAAAAAGAGGCTGATTCCTCAAATTAAGGTCTCAGAAGGGCCAAAAGTCCTTTATTGATATCTCTTTAATGAACAATATTTTGTTATAAATTACTGAAGCAAAAATGTTTATCTTTACGATCTGCGACAATATATTGTAAAATTGTGATCATTGTTACATAATTAGGGGCCATAAGGGGCCAAAATGCTAAATCTTTGATTCTTTATATCTCCAAAGGGAGAAATATTTTGATAAGCAGAATTAAATAAATGATGATCAGAATCGTATTCTAAAAAATATACAACCATTTAATTTTCGAAAAAAGGCCCCATTAAGGACTTGAATGGATGACCCCTAAATATTTTTATTCTGCACATCTCGAAAACGAGAAAAAATTCTGAAAAGTTGTTTGAACAAAAAGTCTTTAAAATCCAGAGCCTCATCATTTGATATGAAGAAAAAGGGGCTGACCCTTCAAATAAAGGACCTAGAGGGGCCAACAGACTTTCATCTATAGCTGTTTGTTGATATATAAATCAAACAAAGTAAATCAAATTAGGGAAGTCTTGATATCATCATGTCTTAACAAAGATCATAAGGAAAATATCTCGTCTATTCAAAAATTCGGACGGAAGACCTACTCGTTGATCGCAACGAGATCGTTTCTAGTTTATAACTATGTTTGTAGGATGTTGTGTTAGAAGGGGGGCCACAGAACACTTGTATACTGCAAACAGTCTAATTTTTCATTGTCTTGACAAATTTACCATGGTGCATGACTGTTACACATCTTCTCATTTATAAGTTCTGTTCAATGAAATAAGTTACTAGGCAATTCTAAGCCTACTAATAGGATATCTTCATAACTGTTTTTTTCATACCTATTCCTGTTCCACCAAATACAGGTGTCACTTTACATCCACACCTGCAATTCTTCCTTTCCCTTGCTTTATTATCAATTTTGTAGGACTCCCCAGGAGCTAACTTTCCTAGCAAGTGCTCTGCAAGTGTAATGCTTATATCTGTCTCTGTAACTGCCATTTCCTCACTCTTTAGTCTGATGTCAAAGACTTTTTTCAGACAGGTTTCATTACACTCTACAAATAAATATAGGTAATCAAAGATTACGAAGCTCACCTCGACGAATGTTATACAAGTAATGCAAATTTCACATCATATGTTTTCCCCGTTAGTGTATATCCAAAGATCAATATTCATGCAAGTTTGATTTAAGCGGGACTTATATAGTTACTTGGAAAAAGACCCGCTCAAAAACTTTTAACCTGTTTACTACTCAAGATAATTTTGGTCAGTTCCAAAAATTCAAAGCAAGTCTGGAAGTTTTCATCCTTAGATGCACCATCTATAAAAAGTTTAACATAACAGGCCATAATATTATATAGCTACTCCAAAAAATTATCTTGGTCACTCATCTGGAAAATGTAGGTCAGATTCAGAATCCAAAGCAAGTCTGGAAGTATCCATCCCTAGATACATCATCCATGCTAACTAAAATTCACTCATCATGTGGAAAATCTAAGTTAGATCCAGCATTCCAATCAAGTTTGGTAGTGTCCATCCCTGGATGCATCATCCATGAAAGTTTGGTCCAGGTAGGGCTTGTAGTTACTTTGGAAAGGACCTGCTCCAAAATCTTTAACCTGGTCACTCATGTGGAAAATCTAGGTCAGATCCAGCATCCCAATCAAGTGTGATAGTGTCCATCCCTGGATGCATCATCCATGCAAGTTTGGTCCAGGTAGGGCTTATAGTTACAGAAATTGGGAATGGACCTGCTCCAAAATTTTAACCTGGTCACTCACCCGGAAAATCTAAGTCAGATATCCAGCATCCAAAGCATCCCTAGGTGCATCATCCATGCTAGTTTAGCCCAGGTAGGGCTTATAGTTACTTAGGAATAGACCTGCTCCTAAAACTTCAATCAGGACGCAGACGCCAGGGGTATAGATGGTTCTCCTGGTAATTTAAGCAAGAGTTATTCCCTATGGCCGTCATCTGTAGGGCAACATTCCCAGATCCCTTTATCATGTCCATTATTCAAGTTCAATTTGTTACACTGGTTATTGAGGTAAAGTTAACACTATTTTTCTTGTGAAAATACGTTTTTTAAAGCCTCTATACAGAATAGCTTAATAAAGCTATATAGCTATTTGAAGCTATATAGCTAAATCAAGAGATTGAACTGGATCTGACGATGGTGGCTAAGGGGCATAACTCTGAGGCAAAATATGTCAAAGGAGAAGCATCTATCTGTCCATAGCATAAGCTATCTCGACTTTGTTGAGGTGAGCTAGTAAAAACTATCCCCTGCCACCAAAGTAATTTCTTTTCTCACCTTTAGCTTTGTAAAATGCATTAAGGCGTAAAGCAGCATCTTTCATGTCACATTCCATGTTTTTAAAGTCATCGCTGCTTGCTTTTTCCAAATTTTGCAAGAAAGAAACTCCGTCTTTGAAGATTGATGTAAACGGGAAGAAACAGGGTCGTCGTTTTATTTTGTCCCTTAACACTTCGTATCCACAAGAGACTTCTGAAAATGAAATACTTTCCGTCCCATTGCAAGATTCTAGTCTGACAATAGCAAACTGTAGCTTATTTAGTCCTAGGGCAGTTAGACCCTCAAATATACGTTTGTCAAACTTTACCTCCATCATGGACTGGAATCAAGAAAAGGGATCCCGATCCCGGTCTAATTTAATAAATACAATGGATCAACAAGATATTGACTTATTTTTGCGTTTTATTTATCTATTTATTGAAAATATTCATGTAAACTTATAGCAAAATCAAAATCATTACTGTCGTGATTTAAGTTTTTAATTAGGTAACAGCCAAGTAGCATCCAAGTAGCATCGATTTTGAAAGTGGTTGAGGGGGGGGGGGGGGAGCCAGAGAAAATTTTTTGCTGACTTATTGACTTACCAGAAAAAGTTGACAAGCAAAAAAAAAAAAAAAAATTACCTTTGACCAAACTCGAAAATCCTATTTGTGTGTGTGTGTGTGGGGGGGGGGGGGGGGTTAGATAGAGGTCGATTTTTTTTTCAATGCCAACACCATTTTTTGGAGAATTCCCCACATTTCCCTCATATCAATTTCCTGTAGTATAAAGTGAGATTTTTGCTTTTCTATTAACATTTCCAATAGTAAGAGTAAGTTTGGGAAAAAAAAGTGGGCGGCCAGCCCCCCCCCCCCCCCACCCTTATTGCGTGCCTGGGTAATCACGTCTTTGAAAATTGCAAAGATTACATCAACATTTGGTGTATATTTTAGACTTTTTATCATTAATTTGTCTGATGACTTGTGAAATAAAAAATTCATTTCATTGATGTACAATGATTTATTACTTTTTACAATGTATGCATTGAATTATTTTCATATTAAACTATGCCATCTTTTACATTAGTGCCTCTTCATTATAATTAAGAATTTCAGACAAGAGAATCTGTATAAGAATAAAGGCTGTTAATATTTCCTTTCCAAAATTTTTTTTTTATTTATCGTAGTTTACGTAAAATTTTATACATGTTTCTTTGTTCGGTTTAGTGGCATGGAGTCCAGGATGAGCTGTCAAGGTGGAAAAAGGGCCATGCACGGCCCGTAGCCGTCAAGCAGATTACAACACAAACACCCCAGACACTGAATTAGTCGCGAAATACTTTTCTGACCAAACCCAGATCTATTTGTTTAGGTGGGTTCCCCAAAACACGTAGCCACCCTGTTTTTTTTTAGTTGAGGGTGGGAATTTTTTTCCAGATTTTTTTTTTTTTTTATGATGATAAAAACTTAATTCAGACTCCTGTGATGGGGTAGCGAAAATACAGGTCTGGTTTTAATCAGATTTCTGATACACATTGAAACTGCTTGAAAAGTAACTGTTTCTTTTGCAATTTATTTTGAAAAGCATGATTCCCTACCTTATTTTTTGTAAATATTAGAATACGTGTGAATGCATGTAACATGAAGATTGGAGTGTTTTTATAAAGATCTAATGTAAATGTAAACATATATAAATTTTAAAGTGTTTGTTATAAATTTTAATCTGCTGGCATTAGGCAAAATTGATGCCGAATCAAGCTGTGATGTATCTTGCATTTGGTAAACTTAAGCTGTAAAATTCAGGGTATCGAGGGTGTTAAAGAGGGGGACATGGAGGACACTTTAGTCACCACAGCTTTAGTTGTTCATAACATATTCTTTCACTTGTTTCCACAACAAAATATTCCTTATAATTGTTATACCTTTAAAAATTTGTTCCTGTACAAATCCATCTGAAACAAGAGGCCCATGGGCCACATCGCTCACCTGAGAAACTTTGGCCATGCTGTTCTTTAACAGATTTCCCCCCTTTGTAATACCAATTGTGACCACGCCCTATCCCCAGGGGTCATGATTTGGACAATTTAGAATCTACACTA